AACACTATTTATTCACTAAGTCTTAGTATATTTACTTGGTCTGTTATTACAACAACAAATCGTGGGGCTGCCTATATGGTGAAATGGAGCACCGTGATTGGTTCAAGCTTCGCATAGAGCACCGTGATTGGTTAAAGCTTCGCATACAGCCATTATTGGCAAATTTGACTTTTCTGAAAATTCCAATTTTCAAAGTCTATTACAAACTAATGTGCAACAATTTAGGGGAGAACATTGGTGATTTATTATCAGGATAATATATATAACTTATAGCCAAAATTAAACTTGGTTCCATGAGGTGTCAAACGAAAGTCATTTTCTAGACTGATTTTGCCACCTCGGCCCATGGGCCTATTGATGTAATTGTAAATGACATTGGTTTTATTGGGACCGGCATGTTCTTCTATCCCTTGAACCGCTGCGGCATTAGCCCAGTGGCAACACGTACGGCGGGCCTATAGTTACTAGAGTTATCAGTCGCGAGAGCCTGGTCGGTTTACTTTACTAATAATATCATGTGATCGACCGACCGTGTATACAACTTACTAGATACAATAATGTAACCCAAACCCAAGAGGATAGGGGGACCCTATCCTCTTGGGTTTGGGTTACATTATTGTATCTAACAACTTACAAATACAAGCACAGGTTTTCGTTAGTTCTATAACAGTGACACTTCCCTAAACTTCCTTGTTTCTGTGCACATACTTAGAAGTTAGAGAGCATGTCCAGTAATAGCTCTAGTACTATAGCCCGCGTACATTGACTGCCTAAGTATAACTTGAATAAGTAGGACTTGCCTGCGGCAGTCAATGTACGCGGGCTATAGCTAGGCTAGGGCTCTAGAGCTAGTCCAGTAATAAACATCATCCTATCATATCCCCCGTCCTGGACATCATCTCTATCCTTGAACCCAACATACCAATCATTTCAATTGAAATAACAGAATAGCTTATAATGAGAAATACAACTTGTTATTTGCACTTAAATACGGAACTTACCAAGAGCAGATAAAAGCTGGACTGATATTTTTCCATGTTGAAATAACTGCCAAAATACCTGTACAGATAGGTGGCGGTTTAAGCGCACTTGTTTAAATTTTGTTAGATTTTTCTTTTTCATCGAATACTTCAACATTTCACTATACATATGTATAATAACCAAACCGTTTAATAAAACATTACTTAAGATATTTGTTTTTATAAAAAAAATTCTTCTTACCAATTATAGCCCCTTTCCACATTCAGCGTCGACTATGGAAGCACTGAACTGGCCCAATACCGGGCCAGATTATATGGCCCATTAGTGGACCAGTTCGCTGGTTCGGCACCGCGGCAGTACCTGGTAACGTTTCAGCTGTACTGGCCCCATGTCGCGCCATGAAGCGGCCCGGTGGCGTCTATTTTTTTCGCGTACCGGCAAATGCGCAAAGGGTTCCTCTGATTGGCTGCTTTCGATTTGCTATGACGCGATAAACCTTCAAAACAAGAGAACAAAGCCCATTTGTAAATATGTTGTTTTTAGTTCATTATCAGGCGATTATAAGTAAGTTTAAAACACACATTTTACTCATTAATATAGAATATAATATCACTATAATTACCAATTCTTTGTGTTTAACTGTGTTATTTTTCAATCTTAATCTTAAAGTTATGAGAGGGTTTGGTCTTCTCGTAAGCGGTCTCGTAAACAACTTACTTACATACGTAGGTATTACCGTACTTGTAGACGAGTAGCCCGTATGTCTCGCAGGAGTAAAGATAGCTCCGCGGCCTATTAGTACTAGAGCTAGAGTAAAGATAGAATCAATGAAGTACCGCAAACAACAATGTATACCCTATCTCAATATGTGATTCGATTAACTGACTCATTAATTTTTATTTACCCTCTTCATTAATTCAAGTGAAAACAAATTCATACTATTTGGTGACATTATAGCCTTCAAACTATATGCATACTTTTCATTACTAAAATTATTCATCCAACTGAGTGTAATTAACTTGACCAATGTACATGTAGAGCCTACAGTGTCTTCAAAAACGTATCATTTTCAGGACAGTTTATCAATCATTCTTTTCATATCCATGGATTACTATTTCCAGAAAATCTGTCCATACGGAAATCTGGGCCTTTCAGATTCTCTAATAAATGTGAAGTCGATCTGCACCATAAATTAATGTTAATCTAGAACAAGGTGATAAAAAAACAAAACAAACCAATACCGCACATTAGGAAATAGGGTTGTAAATTATTCATCTGGCATACTGAAAGGTTGTTTATTTTCATATCGCTTCCCAAGGTAATAAAGTATTTTAAACAACAATGCATTGTCCATGTTACTTGCTTTTAAGAAACAGGGTTAGCAATATACATTTACAGCAGACAAATTAGTCTTGTAATTACAATATGATTTAGAGTTTTCAATAAACCTGGTCAACCCGTTTTTTTAAAATTTAATTTTTTACATAACATGTTCATTTTTGTGGACTTAATTAAAGCCAATGATAGTTTTGGACGTTGTGAAAAAACTATAATATAATGATATCTGATAAATAATAGTAGATAAAATAGATTGGGATTAAACCACTGCAAGATAATTTCGATTCCTACCACCAGAGCTCTGTGGTTAGATTAGTGACTGTGGACACTGTGACAGTGTAGTCCGTACCACTACTACTAGTAATAGTATAGTAGTACTAGTAGTACTAGATACAATAATGTAACCCAAACCCTATCCTCTTGGGTTTGGGTTACATTATTGTATCTATAGTAGTACCAGTGCCAGTGCAGTGGCGAACCGATCTTTTCATCAACTTTTTATAAAATAAATGTAATGTTGCAATAACTTGAATAAGTGAGTGTTATGAATTAAATATTCTTCGGTTAAGTCGTGGTGACATGCCAGCCACCGTTTCATTTAGGGTCTGTCTTTACTTTGATCATTTACTTATGTCAAGGCAAGAGTAATCACAGTAAGTAATGATTATGTTATAATGATTATTATAGACATAGTTATTTGGGACAAACAGCCATATCAATCATAGAATTAAGATAAGTTGCTGGGCATTCTTGCCTGAGATTGGAGACCCAACTGTGTGATTTAGATAGCAGAACAAATCAGTAGAGCAAGCTAAATTATTTGATGTAAAAATGCAAAATAGCATTAGTTTATAGCCTTACAGCTCTCAAAAGAGGATCAAATATGAAAATTAGTATTTATATTCTTCTGAACAGGCGAAACCACAGGCTAGCTACATTTTGCATATTAGTACAGTCTAAATAATGCATATAGCATGGTTCTTAAACTGTTGTAATGACAAGAAAAATCATTGTAGGTCTACATTCAGTAACACTTCTGGCTAGCTCTTGATTAGTTTGATCAAATTGAGTCATGTCATTGCAAACACTATAGTAACTTACACAAAAGAATTGTGCTCGAGAATCTAAATACAAATGCACATGTATGATAGGGTGTGACGATTCACTCATACATTGGCCCACAATATGATAATCGATATGCACCATCCGTATCGATACAAACGATACAGATGAATTCTTTCTTCTATCTTATGAATTCCGTCTCAGTATCCAGGGTTGTCCAAGAGCACTTATAGCCTGGCGGCTCGCCAGGCTATCGTCGAGCCCCGCCATCCTAAAATGCACCCGCCCCTCTAAATATCATAGCCGCCATGCTAAAATTTGCTATAAAAATGCACAAAAATGCTAAAACTAGGACCGTAAAGGCAGCGCACCCCCATGCTATAATGAAAAAGCTAGGAGAACTCTGGTATAATGTAAATATCCTTGGCTGTCGTAGAAACCTGGCTCAATATATGTGGCACACTTGTATTGCCCCCAAAATTGTTACTGCAAAACAATAAAGAGTGCCGATTGACAGACTGGTGCATGTCGTGACTACACACGTATTGTAGCATTGTCGTACCTCCTTAGCCACTTGATGGGACAAAAATATAGGAAATATAGCAGGTTATCCTGCAAAATATAGGAGGAATATAGGAATTTTGAGGAATTGAGCAGAAGTTACATTCACCCTACACCAGATAGAAGTGGAGTGCATTGATATGGGACTACAGCAAGTTCTGGTGAAGATGTTCTTATGAACTACAGTGCCATCCATCCTACAAATATAATCTTTTATGCCAAGGATTACTTGCTTGTACTCTAACTACAAGCATCACAGATGCCATGGACAGGATACACAATCAAATCTCCATAACTAGCTGGCAAGGCATTGTCATACAAATAAGAATACTATACTACCCACTTATGTATCAGGAGCCAAAGAATTATTATAGAGAAGATTGCTGCAACAAATGATTTTGGCATATATTTGTATGGCTTTGATATACTCATATTACGTTGAGTATGGGACGTTGTTACGAAAGTATTGGGATACATATTTTCTGTCTGTCATGATACGTATCGACGGTATCGTAATGCATGCCTATACTTTCTAACTGCCAAAATATCTGCAAGGGGACAAAAGAGAGGGTTTAATTTTGCATCAGTTTTAATCACCTTGGACTGCATGCATATTAACATAAAGCTAGCTTCAAGGCCAGCTACCAATTTAATCGATACGTAAAATACAGGTATATTTTATTTCAGGCACTTCAATGGATTAAAATTTACTTTTGATATTTTATATGTACGTCGTATATATCTGAATTTATTGCCTTTTACATCCAGAATCGGTACAAACTGCAAAGTCATACTTACCGTAATATGTAACGTTATACTCGGGACTATATAAAATCAGTACGGTATGTGTGCTACCCCAGCAGCAACAGAAAAGCATTGCCAATTACGCACGAATGATACTCCTAGTAAACGTAATGTAATATACAGCAAATTCAATGTAGGACATTAATCTGTCAATGCAGCATGAATTTACTATTCATCACTAGTGTCGTCTTCAGAAATACCCTCATCTTCTGCTCTATGTGGCTGCTGAATATTTAAGTACTGTTTGTAAGAACACAACTCATATCAGAACACTGCAGCTTGTTATCTCTACATACATGTGCACTTTCAATGCAAGCACCCAGTTTTGTTGCATTTACATGCAATGTATTTTTGCAGGGCATCAGGTGCAAAAGGAATGCTATTCCAAACGCGTTAGAGTAAGCCATTACGTATCTATGTCTCACAAATTATACACTGCTTTGGAAGAAGGCATGTATTACTATCCATTTTAGGGACATATAGAATTCACTGGCACTGCAGATCTCAACATGCATCTACTAGCCTCACTAACGCTCATAGGGTCTATGTCCCCCAGGGTACTGCCGGAACGTACCCTGGGTACGGTCCGGTATACCGGAACGTACCATGGTCACTATTTGATATGGTTAGGGTTAGTGTTAGGGTTAGGGTTAGGGAGTAGGCGTAGGCGACTCCCTAGACTTGTTAGTGGAATAGGCGAGGTACGGTCCGGCATATTAGGTAGTACCAGGGTACGTTCCGGTATACTGGAACGTACCCAAGACCCTCTCAGCCTCACTAACCGTAGGAAATTCCTTTCCACAATTAGTCTTGTAATAAGCTTTTGAAAAGTGGAATTTTCCGAAACAGACAGACAAATTGCTGCCCGCCATAGATGGCTGTAGCGAAGTTTTAACCAATCACGGGGTGCTCTATGCGAAGCTTGAACCAATCACGGTGCTCCATTTCACAAAATGGCAGCCCCCATTTGTTGTTGTAATAACAGACCAAGTATAAATACTAAGACTTAGTGAATGAATAGTGATATAATTATAATATAATGATATCTGATAAATAATAGTAGATAAAATAGATGGGCAGCTCCAACAAGATGCTCACCAGACTAATCAGAATATGTACAAATTATGAATTCGGTGCCCATGCAGTTTCAGAATTCTATGTTAATTGCTCTGGTAAGTAATGTGATGTTGTCGAGAGAATCTGCTCCTATGTGCTCAACGGTTGCTCATCACAAGCTAGTTTACAACTGTAACTTAGTGTAACTGTCACATAACACAGCCACTGAATGAAACTTTATGTGAACTTGTATTCATATTAGATTAAAGATTAGATTAAGCTAAGATTACATGATATTATAGTGTCTATTTCTGCTTCTAGTTATCAAAGAATTGGTAGTTGACTGACAGAGTGCCATCTGTTCTAGATGGGTTGGAGAAAGGAATTTCCTACGGTTAGGGAGGCTGAGAGGGTCTTGGGTACGGTCCAGTATACCGGAACGTACCCTGGTACTACCTA